TCCAAGTCCTGAATCCTACAGCCAATGTATCAGAAAAATTTGCAAACAAATGTCAATTCTCCTTGTCTGACAAGGTTGTTGGTACATTAGTGGATAAGCTACACAACCTTTAGTACCAGGGCACTGCCCAAACAGGCCAGCACATGACCATGTCTTCAATTCCCTTGTGTTCCTCCAGTTTATCTGATGAATTGGGGCCACATAGCTATGAATTGGGATCCTCTAAGAAACTGGTCCCAGCTTAGCACAGACTGAGACTTTTCTAGTTCTTATTAGAGAAGCAGAAAGAAACCGAACTCATCTAGTTCACCCTGAATTCCAGCAATGGCTGCCAAGGCTGAGCTAAGCCCGATCCAAGAGTATAAGCCAGGTCTTCCTCGCAAATGGCAGGAACTCATTTTGTTGAACCATCTCCACTTTGTGTAAAGTCTTATTGACAGAAAGCTGGAGTAAGGAGCCAAATCGGGAATCAAATCCAGGGTTCCCACAGAGGTGATGTGGTCATCCTACTGCTAGGCTGAATGCCTGTCCCCAGAAGGAAGAAATTGCCTTTGGCCTTATGAAGGCTTAATCATATCGGCTATATCGCTTGTTGACATTGCTTGCTATGGGTTCCTTTAATAGATTCAGAAAAATACATAACTGGTCTTTATTTGTAGTCAGTGAAAGTTAAGAGGATTGCAGGGGCCAGCACTGTGGTGCAATAAACTAAGCCTCCGCCAGTGGTGCCAGCATCTCATAAGGGTACCGGTTCGTGTTCCAGTTGCTCCTCTTCAATTCAGCTCTCTGCTATGACCCAGGAAAGCATTGAAACATGGCCTAAGTGCTTGGGCCCCTGAACCCCTACTGGAGACATAAAGAAACTCCTGGCTTCAGATCAGCCCATCTCCAGCTGTTGTAGTCATTTGGGGAATGAACCAGCATGTGGAAGACCTGCCCTCTCCACCATTGCCCCACTCTTCTCCCTCTCCCCTTCTCATTCTGCCTCTCAAATGCTTAAACAATCGCAGCCATCAGAGTTTTACAGATCTTACGTGGCTTTATTAGTGGTTCTGGAATCGAGTAGCAGTCCAAACTAAATGTTTCAGAAGACTTTTCCCTACCATATGGGAAGTCATTTACATCCAGAGAAAAGTGACATTCAGAAACCAGAGGTGAAGTACTATTGACAGCCAGGTCAGCTGCAGCCTGCATGTGTCTTATTTGAAAAACTAGAAGTAACTGAACTGCTCAGAAGATGGCAGGAAGATAGTTTGAGATTAGCTGTTTTCAGTTATTTAACCTTTATAAACATAGCAGTGGTATGGAATAGTCTGTCAAACTCTCACACCTGTTTCCTTGAATGTGGAATGTGCTCAAAGAATCATGTACAATGTCTTAACCCATACCTTTGTAATGAAAAGCATTAGGTGGTTACTGTATCCCAGAATTTTCAGTGCACTTTAGACTCATGTGGGTTCTTTGTAAAATTCCAAGGCCCAGCATCTATTCTAGACCAACGGAATAGCAGTGCATGGGGGTGGGACACAGGCAGCAGTACTTAAGTAGAAGACAATAGTGATGGAGGAGTCTTCAGCAACACACGAATTGACATTACCGAATAACATTTCTGATGTCTTGCCATCCCTGTTTTGGTTCCTCTGTATTCTGTCATTTTCCCGTTTCCCATCTATTAAGGCAATGGAGCAGTCCTAGCTAACATGGTTGTCTGATTCAGTCAAGGATCAATGTAGACAACATTCAGGTGACTACTGACAATAACTCGGGCTCTAGATGGCTCAGAACTAAGGTGCATGAATTTTTGAGATTGTAGTTGTCTGAATTGGTGCATACATATTTTCTAGATCCTTCTACTTATGTTACAATTTTAAGGTCCTCTGGCTCCCTCAACGTCCTGTTTTTGGCTTGACTGAGACAGTGTGTTATTCACTCTATGACCCAGCAAGCTACCTATTTTCCCTGCAAGCTAGAACCTTGAACACTCCTAGGCCCTGGTATGGTAGTTGAGGTCATCCAAACCACTAAACCTGTTGCAAAACAGAAGCCTAGTTCCAGCCCTGCTCCCAAAACCTCATACACTCAAACGCCATTCCCTGACCCTTCCCTATAGACATACCCTGGTATTTTACTCATTGTCCATCGCAAGGAATGCCATAGTATCCTATAAGCTCCCCTTATAAAAAATGTATAAATACATTGGCTGATCACTTTTAGTGTTCCTTTATAATTGTATCTAGCCCCTTCTTGGGATATTTCAGGGTAGTACCTTGTGAGGACTTATCTGTCTCTGGCTTTAAGGGTGATTCTGTCTAAGGGTTTGGCCAGAACAAATGGCAAAACTTCTGATCTAAAAGTAGTGTGCATGTATCTTCCTGTTTGCTATTCTCAGTCTAGGAACACCATGCTGCTACCAGATAGGAAGCAACTTACCATTTATAATCTGAACATAGCCAAATACACCTACTGGGGTAATGTTTTTCATACTGTCAAACAGTCTGTCGCTATTAAGCTATGAGTATCTTCAGAAGGACCAGATAATTCCTACACCAAACATGGGAACAAAAGAATCTTGCAGCCTAGAAATTCTCACTTAATCCACTATATTATATTTGGTTGACTAAATAATGACAAATAATTAGCTCTTAGATGTATAAGTCAGCTATAATTGTGGAATAAACACTATAAAAAATCTCAGTGGTATATGACAACAAAAATCTTATTCTCAAGGATTGGGTAAGATGACTCTGCTGCACTTGTTTTGGTTTATGTCATTGCAGTTTGACTCAGTATCCAACCTGAGGCTCTACTTTGCTTTTCTATCATCCTCCTAGGACTAGAGAATCGAGGCAAGTTATTCCAATAGTGTGGCAGAGTTGGAAGATGGCAAGCGCCATTACATAAGCAAATTTCATGCTTCTGGTTTTACCATATATGCTAATATCCCATTGGCCAATGTGGTGGTGCTCATGATAATGCTCCTATCGTCAACACGCTGGGAAGTGTACTCTAGGGGAAAGAATATTTGAACAGCAATCCAATCCATCATACAGAATGCCCCATCTCCACTGAGGAAAACCAAATGAGAGTTTGTAAAGTCTCAGGGAACAGGAAAAGAGTCCTTTGGTTCATATAGGACTGAGAAACCTGCAAAACTGGACAGAGACCCAGTCAAACCATCACCACCACCTTCCATATGTCTTTGAGTTTAGCCTTGGCACAACAGCATGAGTTTACAGGTGTGTTTCCAAAGCATACCAGGTTTTCTTGGATATTTTCTTAGAATTCCTACTATTGAGAAACAGGGTCAAAAAATGAATGGAATACTATATATCAGCCTTCATGAAAACAGATGCATCACAGCTTCTTAAAAAGAACTGATTGAGAGGCACTCAGATGAACTTACATAAAGACAATAGCAGAAAGATAAATAAAATACAATATAGTGCTCAGGTTATACTGGAAGAAGAAATAGCACATTTTTTCTTATCTCTACCTTGACCTTCATGAGTTGAAATGAGTTTACAGCTCCAGCAATCAGCCTTCCTTAGGTAATGCTGTGAAACAACCTTAAAATTTCTATAGTTTGCTACAAAAATGACAACCAACCTTGTTCATGATAAATGAACATTGAGTCAGCCAAGGCTTTCCTACAGATATCACTCAAATCCACATGTGTTCTATATGAATGAAAACTAAGAAAAACCCTAATAAGTGAGATCCTCATTTTTCTGAGAGGAAGAGCAAAGACTGAACCAAGGTACACAATCACGTTTTAAGGCTTCAGATACTTGATACAATATGAGACCACTAAAGTTTAATTGACTAAAATACATAGCACAGTAGGGATTAACATTAGCAGAATGAGGGAATATCCTTCACATTATACAAGGATAGGGTAATAAACACTACAAACATTAATAAAACTACAAATTGTAACCATTTTCTTAAGACTGAGCATGGGAGCTAGTGCTGTGGCATACCAGATAAATCTATCACCTGCAGTACCAGCATCTCATATGGGCAGTGTTCAAGTCCTGGCAGCTCCATTCTGATCCAACTCCCTGCTAATGTTCCTGGGAAAGCAGCAGAGGATGGCCCAAGTCCTTAGGTCCCTGCATCAATGTGGGAGACCTGGAAGAAGCTCCTGGCTTCAGATCAGACCAGATCTGGCCACTGTGGACATTTTGGGGTGTAAAGCCGTAAGTGGAAGATCCATTAATATTCTCTACCTCTGCTTTTCAAATCGTTTAGAAAAAAACTGAGCATGAAGAGACAAGGGTATTCTTACTCATCTGTATCCATGGTCTATGGTCCAAAGATGGTATTCGACTCTCCTGTCCATTCAAAAAGCACAAAGTATTTTAGAGACAAGGAACATATGCATGTGAAAAATCAGGTAAAAATCAGAGGACTGAAGTGTTCAAGAAAGTCAACTGAATAGGCCATGAGTATGAAACTAAGTCAAAATAGGAATTCACCCAATGGAAGGTAGAAGTACAGGTGGAGCTGTCCAAATGAAGAGCCACTAATTCCAAAAGTTAGACTACATAAGAAAAGTAGAGGTTAGAAGCCACTTACCACAAAATAGAGTTTTAGTGCTAGGTGGGGTGTGTTGACCACAAAATTGCATGATCTTGTTGTTCAATTCCTCACTCATACCCTCAATAATAAAATCACCAAAATCTCAGTTGCTTGTGCCAATCTTATCCAAATTCTTAGTTTTTAACTTACATAACAATATCACTTTGGGAGGTTCTTTGTCTGATTCATATGATTCTATGAAAATGGGAAAATTAAACCTCTTCTCTGGACCTGATGGCTCACAACTGCTCTGATCTAACAAGTAAACCTGAGAAATGGGAACTCCTATTTCTTGAAATGCTGAAGAGTTGTGGGGAGCTGGGGAGAGGGGGATGGAAAGTTTGCTAGGAAAATGGTTTTTTCCTACTCCAGACCAGCGTCTCCCCAGTCCTGGGTCAGTGAGTGAAAAAAGTAACCCCTTACACATCCTTCCTCTGGAATAGTCTGAGCACATGATTACGAATCTGCTTAGTCTTGACACCATAGATAATGGGGTTGATCATGGGTGGGAAGAGAAGATAAAAAACAGCAAGAAGTATGTGGACGTGGGGGGCAGCCTGGCGAGCCACACGGTGCATGACTGAAGAGATGAGCACGGGTGTATAGGTGGACAGGATGGCACCAATGTGAGACACACAGGTCCCAAATGCCTTGTAGCGGGCCTCCTGGGAGGCAAGCTGCAGAACTGCCCGAAGAATAAAAATGTAAGACAGGATGACAAACAGTAGGTCCAACACCACAATAATCAGGGCCACAGCAATGCCATAGATATTGTTGAAGCGGGTATCCCCACACGCCAGCCTTACCACAGCCATGTGTTCACAATAGCAGTGGGCAATAGCTGTGCCTCGACAGTAGTGGAAGTGTCTGAACAGAAAAGGGGGTGGAGTCGTTAATGCAACAGCCCGGACTACGGTGGCCATGCCAATCTTGGTGATAAGTGGCCTAGTCAGGATTGTGGTGTAATATAGCGGCTTGCAGATGGCCACATAGCGGTCAAAGGCCATGGCCAATAGCACCGCTGACTCCATGATAGAGAAGGAGTGCAGAAAGAACATCTGGACCAGGCAGGCATAAAAGTTGATTTCTTGATCTCTGAACCAAAAAATAGCCAGCATTTTGGGCAATGTTGTAGTCGAGAGGACCAGATCAATGCTTGCCAGCATGGACAGAAAGAGGTACATGGGTTCATGAAGGGCTGCATCAACCCGAATAATAAAGAGAAGGGTGCAATTGCCCAGAAGTGCCAGAGTGTAGGCAAAGCAGAAAGGAATGGAGATCCAGATGTGTAGGTGCTCCAAACCAGGAATTCCAATTAACAAGAAGGCAGCTGGATGGGTTGAGGTGATATTGGTGGCTGACATGGCTCCTGGAAAACCGCCTTGATTTCTTTGTACCAGACCCCTCAATCTTCTCTATGTACTTTGTCATTTATGGTCATGGAGATGTAGCCATTCTTGTTGTTATTAGACTTTAAACAAAACAAGCTAGTAGTCTTCATAGACACGTGAAATTGAAATCCATGTTTCTTAACACCAAAGAATTTTGAATTTTGGTAGTGAGACAGAATATTAAATATCCATAGAACTTACAACATGACAATTTTCATATAGGAATGGAGAATAGTGTTTTCCGTGTTCTTGATGACATCGGGAACACCTTTTTTAAAAAAAATATTTAAGTCAGTTCACTTAGTACATGTCATCCTTCCTTCTACTCGAGCTCAACTCCAAACACAAATTCTATTGTTCCTATTAAATATCACATCTGAGTACACATTTCTAATGCCCCAATTACAGAATCCTTATACTCTCTCTAGGACTAGTCTAATACAATTCCCACAAATCGCATATGGTATGGCTATTTAAGATAGAACACAATTCTCTGGTCACAAGAAATTCTTCTTGTACAATCCCATCAAGGTGGCACGTACCAATGCCATCTCACTACTCCAAGTAATCAATTTCAGTTCACAATTGATCACACTGATAGGTCTAAGAGTCAAAGGGATCACACAAACAAGACTAGTGTCTGCTAATACTAACTGATGGAATCAAAAAGGAAGAGAACAATCCATCATGGGAAGCGAGATTCACAGCAGACTCATAGAATGGCAGATGTCCTAAACAGCACTCTGGCCTCAGAATCAGCCCTTAAGGCATTCGGATATGGCTGAAGAGCCCATGAGGAGAGTATTTTAGGCATGGAAAGCCAAGACACTCTGGGGGGGGGGGGGGACCTAAATGAAAGATCTCTGTGAGTGAGATCCCAGTGGAAAGAACGGGGCATCAAAGAAGGAGGTACCTTTCTCTGAAGGGAGGAGAGAACTTCCACTTTGACTATGACCCTGTCTAAATAAGTTTGAAGTTGACGAACTCAAGGCTTCCATAGCCTTGGCAACTCATGATTAGAGCCTAGGGAGATTACTGACACCATAAACAAGAGTGTCAAATTGTTAAGTCAACAACAGGAGTCACTGTGTACTTACTCCTCATGTGGGATCTGTCCTTAATGTGTTGTCCAATGTGAAGTAATGCTATAACTAGTACTGAAACAGTATTTTACACTTTGTGTTTCTGTGTGCGTGCAAACTGATGAAATCTTTACTTTATAGACAGAAGATCTATTTAGTATGTATTAAGATAATTGAAAATGAATCTTGATGTGAATGGAATGGGAGAGGGAGCGGGAGATGGGAGGGTTGCGAGTGGGAGGGAAATTAGGGGGGGAAAGCCATTGTAATCCATAAACTGTACTTTGGAAATTTATATTTACTAAATTAAAAAAAAAGGAAGTGGAGCAGCCGGGTCTCCAAAGGCTTCCATATAGGATGCCAGCACTCTAGGCAACAGCTTTTTCTGCTACCCCATAGCACACAGCCCCACTTCCTTCTTTTTGATCTGCAATAGCCAGCTAGTAAGTTTAGGTCTGCTGAGCTAGAAGTCACAAGCCCACATGAAATCTTATCCTACATGTCAATCAAAACACCCCCTTTCCTAGGATGCATCTGCTTCATCCAGGACCTAAAGGGTGGATGCCATGAAAATATGGACAATGAGCTCCATATACAGGTGCCATATAATCCCCAGGTGGCTTCACACCTGGAGAAGGCACTGCCCCATCTCATAAAAATTGTTACTACTTTTTATATTTTATACATGTCTGCACTTAGAATGCTTGTCAAAGTGCAAGGCAAGAGTCTGGAGTGAAAATCGGTCCACCCGTTCTCACGTCACTTTCTCCCTCTCTCCTGCTTCCTGCTCTCCCTCCCTTTCTTTCCTCATGTTAGGTAGCAAGGCACACATTAGCGTGTGTGTGTGAGCACACACTAGCTTTTGTGTGTGTAGAACCAAAATGGGAGTTTCTGTGTATTTGAATGAGGGTGTGAGAGGCCAGAGCCACGCCATGGGAGGGTTCTCAGGAGACAAAACTGACTAGGCCCAGGATGCGCCTGGTGTGAGAAGATGAAACCTGACACCGGGCAGTCCTTGGTCTGGTCCACAGGACCGGGTGGAGGCAACCAATAAGGTGAGCCATCCTTGGTACTGCAGGGCCAGGGGAAGGAAGGAATGCGGACTTAATACTTGTTTGCCTGGGAAACTATTAAAAACCCCAAGAACAAAGAGAAGGGGGTCTTGGTCTCCCAGCATGCTGGACCTACAAATAAATTCCCTTTGTTCTTTGCAAAAAAAAAAAAAAATACTTCTCAAGTGTCTGACAATAACATGTCCAGTGGCTCCCATTTTGGACCATTCAGATAAGAATATTGACAACATTGGAGAGCATTGTTCTAAAATGTATCTTTCAGGTCCCTTTTTTTTTGGGGGGGGGGGGGGACAGGCAGAGTGGACAGTGAGAGAGACAGAGAGAAAGGTCTTCCTTTGCCATTGGTTCACCCTCCAATGGCCACCACGGCCGGTGCATTGCAGCCGGCGCACCGCGCTGATCCGATGGCAGGAGCCAGGAGCCAGGTGCTTTTCCTGGTCTCCCATGGGGTGCAGGGCACAAGCACCTGGGCCATCCTCCACTGCACTCCCTGGCCACAGCAGAGAGCTGGCCTGGAAGAGGGGCAACCGGCACAGAATCTGGCGCCCCAACCGGCACTAGAACCTGGTGTGCCGGCGCCGGTAGGCGGAGGATTAGCCTAGTGAGCCGCGGCGCCGGCCTCTTTCAGGTCCTTCTAACACTCACAAATCCTCTAACTACAGGCCTGGTTCCCACTCATTGAGAAAACAAACTTTTGATTCTCCATCAAAATTCATGTGAATTCCCTATTCAAGTGGCTCACAGAAGAATATCTAGAAATGTCTATATTCAGTCTCAGCTGCTTCAAGTATCAAGGTTTTTGTAACATTCCAATTGGTATTCCTTTCTCATTACTCCCCTTAAATGATTTTTTTGAACCAATGATGTCATTGTAACTTCATGGAATTCAGCCTCTCCTTAACATTTCTCATAAATTGATCACATAGTCCTGAAACTCTTTTCTTGGGTCCTATGATATTTCTATTTCCAGTCTTCTGCTTCTGTTCTACTTCAAAATTGAGTTTCTTTGGGTCTCAAACTTGAACTGTGTTCTGTTAGTCACACAGAATTCAAAATATTGGAAGATTTTTCATTAGACTTAATATCTTCACTTGCTGAATGGGTTAAGTAAATAAACTAGAAAGCTTGTAAAAATTCCAAGGATAGTAAAAAACACAATCATAAAATTAAATAGCATGATAGATGATTTTTAACTGTTAAGAAGAACAAGGAAAGCAGAGCTAATGAGGATAGGGAGAAGGGGACAGCTGAGACAGCAGTTTTAAATGAAGAGATTAGGATAGACTCCAATTGAAGGAATCTGGGGGCCAGTGCTGTGATGTAGCAGGTAAGGTCACAGCTTGCAGTGCTGGCATCACATATGGGCACTAGTTTGAGACTCGGGGAGTGAATCAGCAGATGGAAGACCTTTCTCTGTCACTCCCTCTGCCTCTCTGTAACTCTGCCTTTCAAATCTCTCTCAATTTTAGCCAAAAAAAATTTTGGTAAGCTTTTAAAATTTATTTTCTTTATTTGAAAGACAGAGGGGAGAAGAGGGGGAAGTTGGGAGAGGGGAGATGGGGGGGGAGGTTGGTGGAGGGGGAGGGAGGGAGGGAGAGAGAGCAAGCTTCCATCTGTTGGTGTACTTCCCAAGTGCCCACAACAGCCGGGGCCAGACCACGCTGAAGCCAGGAGCTGGGAACCTAAACAGGGTCTCCATGTGCGTGGTAGGCGTTCAACCTCTTGAGCTGTTGCCTCCCAGGGTATGTGTGAGCAGGAAGCTTGAAGCAGTAGTCAAATCAGGACTCCAACCCAGGCACTCTGATATAGGATTTGGGCATCATCCCAAGCAAGTGGTTTTAGCCACCGTGTCAAACACCTAGCCAAAAATTTTTAAAAATATATATATACCTCAGATTCTTTTAAACACAGAAACTAGGATTCCATGGACATCTTTATTTGGGGTAAATATATCATTCTCATGAATAGGATCAAAGAATAACATTAGAAGCAGGGATAATGGGTCTAAAGGTATATTACTGAGGACAAGAGTTCAGTTTTGGACATGGTAAGTTCAAAATTTTTGAGTAAAAATATGATTAGTTGGGCAGCACTGTGGCTCACTAGGCTAATCTTCTACCTGCGGCACCATTACTCCAGGTTCTAGTACCGGTTGGGGTGCCGGATTCTGACCCAATTGCTCCTCTTCCATTCCATCACTCTGCTATGGCCCAGTAAGGCAGTAGAGGATGGTCCAAGTACTTGGGCCCTGTACTCGCATGGGAGACCAGGAGGAAGCACCTGGCTCCTTGGTCCTAGCTTCAGATTGGCACAGCGCTGGCCATAGCAGCCATTTGGGGGGTGAGCCAAATGGTTCTAACTGTCTCTAACTCTGCCTGTCAAAAAATATGATTAGTCTATAGTTCTGAGAAATGATCATCATGGAAAGTATCAACTGAAATGTCCAAGTTTTTAACTTAAATCATGAACTTATTTGATCAAAGATGGGATTCATCTCTGCATTTTTATATGAAAACCTAACCTTTAGAATTGGGATATAGGAGGAATTGCAGCCCACTGAAAATTCAGCAAAAGAGACAGAATGAGCACCAAGAAAGGACATTGGCCTGGATATCTTATGGGCTACCAAACAGTATATTGAGGCAAAACTACTAAATAACCAAGCTACCTGATGAACATAATTTGAAAAACAGCTGGTCTTGTATTCAGAATTGCAAAGGATTACACAACTAGATAAAATACACATACTCAAACTATTTCACATGAACATAACAGTAGAAATAAGAGGAAAATGGGCACTCCTTTGAGGAATTCTGCAAGACCAGCAGCTGTGGAGACAGACTGCATGGAGCAAAACATGAAATAGGTAGAGGAAGCATTCCTTTGTGTGTTAAGAGAAATGTACAGCAAGATTTAAAGCTAAAGGGAAATGTTGCTTCAGAAACATTCTTGAAAAATCTTAGAACATCATCAACCTTCTTTTCTACTGGTTTACTATGGATTAGTTCACTGTGGATTCAAAATATCCTAATACCTCAAAACAAAAATGTATCTTGCCTTACC